CGATAATCCATGTGCTGGCTATGTCTAAGCCAGAACACAAACAGTCATCAAGATTCAGTGTTTAATTGCTTGTGAGATTCATTCATTCAACATTAGCCTCATGGACCTATAGCGGCAAAGCACTGTTCTGCACTAGGTACCGTCACAGTAAGCTGATTTTTCATGTAGTAATACTGTTAGTCATTAAGCATTGTGACAAACAATAATTAGGTATTTTCTCTGATCTGACTGGTTAAAAAGTGCTGTCGAATGAGAATGACATCACTGATTTTTTTTGTCTCATTACCATGTATGTATACATTAATCAGTGAGTCTATTTTTGAAATCATCAACAAGGAGGAACAGATCTAGATGCAACTTTTCCCTTACTTCAACACGGGAGATTTCGATGATATATTGAGCAAATGGGACGTCTATTCATTTTCTGAGATACATAAAGACATTGATGGTAAATGAAAACGTTTTCCATTAATTTCACAATCATAATCATAATTGATATAGTTTTCTTGGGCTTGACAAAAAAAGTTTAAAAAATAGACTTTCATACACCCATATAATTATGTTAGTTTGTTTACTCACAACAGCTATTAAAGATGAAAACCGTTCTGAGATGGCCCCTGATCTCGGAACTACAGACAGAGTTTCCAGAGAGACCAACGTCCTAATTTCCAGTGACCACTTCGCATGGCTTGTTGCAAAAACAGAACAGGGCATCATGGATGGGAACCTCTACGAAATCTTCTGGCTGCAATACCTCCTGGGTAGTTAAAATATTTTGAAATAAGACAGTGAAACATAAAAAGATAGATGAACACATACCTAAAATTCCAACGCAGATTCGATGAACATCAGCAAGAGTAAGACCCCTACGTCATTGCCATAATAACAATGTAAACGTCACTAATGTGTCATCACAAAAATTTGCAATAATGTACTGAGAATGACAAAAATCTTAAACATAAGTTAAATATTTGGTTTTGTTAGATTTGAGTTAAGTTATTCTGAATGGATGTACGGCAATGTCAACACAGCACCATAATAAAACAATTACTCCCACTTACTGTCACATTTGGAACGTGAACACGGCATTCCTTTCACTTCCAGAATGGTTTGGTTTCCGAGGTTTTGAACCAAAGTGCTCCCTGCTTCTCGAATGAATGAGTGAGTGAGGTTGTTTATGTCGGAGGCAGAAGTACTCAGGGAAATCTTTACTCCAAATCGAGTTTTGTTAGGTTGTATGCTGCCATACACAGGCATATCAGGGCATCGCCATTTGAACGCAGCATAAATATTATCCGAGACAGGGTATTTCACACAACAAACAATGTTTTTTCTGTCCTTGACTTCGTAAAGTGCAGTTAGACCTCACACTCGTTTTTTTCCAGGCTCCCAAGAGACGATTCCTCGTCGACGACACCGAATGGTACACCACGAGGCCAGTACCTGTCCAAGATAGATATATCTAGCCACTGTCCACTGCTTACGTGAATAACCTCCAAGTAAATTTTTCTGCTATTTTCCATGATTTCTTTCACATATGCAATTCCCCTGAAACAGTACACAACGTTTTGTCATCCAAGCTAAGCTGCATGTCTAAATTCTTGTACGTTTGACGTCTCTTGTTATCACCTGTTTCAGGCGTGTTGACACTATCTTGGGGCCAAACAGTATAAGACCATGGGCTACTTAGGGCTGCATCCCCCACCTCCCAAAACAACCTACTTTTACTGAAGCCTTAGTATGTTCTGAACATGAAATCATATGTCCCTTGAAGGCACTTGTAGTATCACAACGACTGTACGCATAAAGTGCCATCATTGCTGTGTAGTGTTGCTGAGTATGGGACAGAGCAACTTCACTTACAGCATTCAATCTATTTTTATTACCAGTGTCAGTTTTAAAGAGAATTTTGATATTCTTTAGTACATAATGGAGAACGATAAACAAGATATCAGTATCTGGGCTCTTAACTCTGACATATTTGTAGTTTTGGAACCTGGCATATTCACAATAAAGGATGATCCTGAAATCTGTCTCGTCCTTGGGAAGACTTGAGGGCTGGTTTTTCTGTACACTGTTTCAGACCCTCCTCAGAAGTACATGGGTATGCAGAGCCTTGACATACGACTGTTACTTTTCTACCTTGTAGTTTTTCTGTGTATTTATCTTGGCTCCAGAGTCGAGTAAGGAGAGTGATGAACTGTTGCTTGTTCATATCATTGGATAGGAACTGCTTCCAGTCCGTGGGTTTGTTCGTATTCTCTCCTTTGACAATGAGTTCCTCTCCACATCCCTTTCTTTGTCGCTCTATGGATTTGGCAGAGTTTGCCACACAGCTGTCTGTGCTGATCACAACATCACCGTTTTTTTACATGATATCAAAGACTTTCTGACAAATTTGGCTGAAGTTACCGGAATATCTTTCAAGTAATAAAAACAAGCGTTGCCATTATGGATTACAAGAATTTCATTAGCAGGAGGGACACCAGCGTCCTCCAGTTCCGGGGTCAGGAGATGGAAAGCCTTTGCCTTGTCTGTCTTTGCAAGGAAGCCGTCCCAATGCTGGAGTTAAGGGATATGTCAGGAATTCCTTCTGATCTACTTGTATCCCTTGATTTTGGAATTTGATGAACAACTGAAAAGCAATGTTTCCCTGTTGCTTATACTGGACTACTTTGTTTGCAGTGGTTGTAATGCTGATCTTCTTGTTCATGTCTCCCAAAGTTTTAAGACTCAAACGCTTCACTGGCTCAAAATCATTGCCTGTTTTTACAAAACGAAATATTTATCTCCTAAATGGACAGCATGATCTCAGTTTAATGAACAGTTAATTGCGATTCCTGGTCTTTCAAAGAATCTTCCTCTCATAATTGACAAATTGCAATGGTACATTTACTAAACTTTCATTTACATTTCAATAAAGGGTGGTTTCCTGCTCATTGTGCGATCCCTGTTGACACCTGCTGATTACAATTTGCAAAAGAAAATATATCAAACCATAAACAAAACAGGTAAAACATAATGGTTTTGAGCTGCATGGTAAGCAATTGCCAGATAAAAAAAATAAACCATATGGTTTTTCACTGGCAAACTTAACAAACCTCGCTTCGTGCATGAGCACATGCTATTAAGTGTTAAATGTTGTCAGTCATTAACAAATAACATTAACAACTTTTAAGGTCAATACATACCTAACACTCTGACTCATAATTATCTACCTGTTTCAAAATGGCGATCCGGACAACAAATATGTTAGGTCATTCTCTCCATTTCTTGGCAACAAGATGGACTTAGGTTCTGTGAGGGTAGGGTTCGTTTCCGGAGCATAACTCATAAACCGTTCAATATTTTTTCATGAAACTTTGCAGGTCTGTCAGGTACATGCTGAACTGGTGCCTTTTGCTATTTAGAAATTTTACATTGTTTTACGTTTCCATGGCAACAAGGTGGACTTAGGTTATGAACTCTTCTTTTTTTACAATTTCCATGACAAGTTCCACCTCGGTTGAAAAAGGTTGTCTGTTTAGATTTAATTATGTCATTAATTCTGCAACAGGGGCGGGGGATATAGCCACGTTAGTAACATTAACAACAGATATATCTTTTAAAACTGTATGGAACTACAAGGAAATTACGATAAAAAATAATATGTTATAGAAACAGAATAGAGATCAACAGCCACCAAAGTGAGGCCACCATACAAGCAATCGCGGGGATACTTCTGCTTCCTGCATGGTTTCAGTAAGTTAAGGCCAAAATTGAAGGCAACAGGTATTCAACGAGTAAAAGGTAGTAGAAAAATACATACTTTGAATGATATGGCCTCACATACCCTCTCAAGGGGACAATACATTTTTTACACTTCAGCCCCCTCTTGACGGTGTTTATGAATTCGGTAAGTATGGGGGGAAACCGCAAACAAGAGAGAAACATATAAAAAAGGAACTAGTGAATGAATATTGATTTCTTTTCTTCTAAATATGTCTGTGTAACTCTTTTCTCATTTCTCTTTTTTCAGTGGCAGGATTATTTCACATTGCGTTGTGGCAGGATAAAAGGACATATATCATAAACCTTCGTTGGTAAGGACGTGACAAATTCAGAGACTCCTGTTTGTTAGATGCAGTGTGCCGAGGGCCCTGTTTGTATGTGGTGTTTGATTTGTGAATGAGTGGTACTGTTTTGTCTACAATTGTCATGTTATCTTAAACAGGGAGGTTATACAAATATTTCCTAAAATGGCGAATCACAGAAACCTGGCAATAACCATTACATTTTTTCGGATCATGTATGGATATCGCCACTTAAGATAGAATCAATAGTGCTGAACTTGTATTAACAGCACGAACAGCAAGAACATGTAGTTGTACCCGCTCGCAGTCACCAGACTGCCAGACTGCCACTCCTTATCTACCATCAATGCTGATTTCGCTTGCAAAAAGTGCACTGCACAATTTTTGTAAGTAATAATCCTCATCGCCAGAATGGCTTGTTCTTGGTTTATAAGTATTAGCACACATGCCGGAATCTTCCTTCAATATAAATCGCGATATTTCATCATTCTATTTCAATTTCCGGATAATATAGTCCCTTAATGTCATCTCTGACAAGCATTTAGAAGCTGACGGTAGCCTGAGAAGTTGTTCTTATCTGGAATAATGTTGAACAAATAGTTTCTATAAATGCAATTTCCATTAAAACACAAATAAATAGATAATTAAAATGGCCCTTTGGACGCGATGCGTTGATATATTTATCCTGTATAATCCATTAACGTCACAATGACACCAATGGTCTTGAAGCGCTCTGATAAAGGTGGAAGTACTTCTCTAATACCCATGGAAGTGTCACAACAACAAGAATTGCTTCCTCGAATGAAAAAATAAACCAAGAGAAAGGGCATCGTAGACTGACAATTTAATTTTCAAACAAAATTTATATCACAGTTCCAGAGAGGAATGCATCAGTTTATTCCTAAATGCGACATTATGTTTCTACACGATCCGGTTTTAGACAGGAATTACGTATAATCAAGCAAATCAGATACAAAATAATCACATGACTTTAGACACAACACGTCTCTCGGGGGATCGACTGGTCACGTGACTTTAGGCACATTACATCTCTCGGTGGATCGACTGGTCACGTGACTATATCGAAGTAGTTTCTAGCACCAGCCGGGGCTCCAGCTACCGTTGAAGTTGACTGGGTTAGATCGAGGGTCAGAGGGTGGGTCCATTGCAGGCACCCGAGTCCCATTCTTCCGGGCAAGCATCTGCAGCAGAAAGTTGACAAGGTCGGGGTTGTCCTTGGAAATGTCCTGGTGCTCTGTTGGGTCGGCGCTGATATTGTACAGCATGACACTGGGGAGGGGAGTGTCATCCATGATTGGGAAGTCAAAACCAGCGGGAGGGTACCATCCCGAGTATCCAGGGTTACCAACAATCAACTTCAGGTCTCCCCACCTGAGAGCTGCAGCATAGTGGTCGTCATAGATGTTGTAGACAAATTGATTCCTAACGCTGCTGTCTCCATTGAGGATCATGTCGACTTGACTCAACCCATCAATGTCCAGTTGGCTGGAGTCTCCCCCTGCTATGTCCAGTAACGTGGGGTACCAGTCCACAGCGTGGAACAGACCAGGGTGAGTGTAACCTTTCTTTTTTAGCAGAGTCTTGCTGTAGACGAAACCCGCTCCCCTGGTACCTCCCTCCCATAGTGTGTTTTTTCCACCCCTCAGAGGCCAATTATTGGCACCTTTTGTAGGAGGTCCACCATTGTCTGTTGTAAACACAAGAAGTAGGTTGTCCATGAATCCAAGGTCCTCAAGGACAGTGGTGATGTTGTACACAGCATCGTCTAAAGCGCTAACCATGCCACTGTAAACCATCCTATTTAAGTCATGAATGTGGCTGTATCGGTCTGAATATTTGACGGGCACCTGCAGTGGCCCATGTACAGCTTGAAACGGCAGATATAGATACATCGGCTTGGACTTGTCGTGGTTCATTATGATATCAATGGCTCTCTTTGCAAACACGTATGTGGAGTATTCCCCTTGAGCGCCCTTGTAAACATCCGTCATGTTCCTGAAGTCATATCCATAGTAATCAGCCACCTCGTCCCTGACATGTGTGAAGTAGTCCTCTGTACCTGCATAGTAGCCCATAAAGGTGTCAAAGCCTCTGTAGGTTGGCGTGTACTTCCAATTACAGAAACCTAGGTGCCATTTGCCGACCATGTGGGTATCATAGCTGAGGGTCTTCAGCCTCTGTGGGATGGTGATCAGGTCCGCTGGCATGTACTTGGGCTTCTCTATGAAGACCACACTGTCCTGGAGCCCTGTGTGGTAGGGAAACTTGCCTGACATGAAGCAGTTTCTGGAGGGGGAACACAGCGGCTGGACATAAGAGGAGTTAAGGATGACGCCGCTACGGGCGAGACGGTCAAGTGTCGGGGTCTTGATGTCGGGGTTAATCCAACCAACATCATTCCAGCCAAGGTCATCGGCCACAATGAAGACAATGTGTGGTTTGTCTGCACCAGTGCTGCTTTTTAAACACAAAGCGACCACAACAGCCAGGACAGCTGTAAGTGCCATGGTCATGAAATAATGCCAGTATTTGTAACGAGATAGCAGGTATACCTAATGAAATGGCCTGATCTGTTTCGCCTTCAACTTTTAGGTCAATATCTGTCTCCCTCTTATCAGATCACGCTACATGTGAAGGTTACGTTCTTATCATCATATAATTACTGAGCATCTGTTTACACAAATGTACCACATATAACAACAAGAACATAACACATATACCATTAGAGCATTTGTCACAACAACACAACGGATGTAGCATCACTAGCGGCAACACAATGACTGGACGTAGGAGGATGGCGCCACCATGGGTGAGGCAGTCAAGTGTTGGGGATGTCAGGGTTGTTCCAGTCTACGCCGTTCCAGCCAAGGTCATTTGCCACAATGAAGTCAATGTGTGGTTTTTCATCAGCGGTGCCGTTTTTTAGACTATAACAGCCAGGGCGACTGAAAGCTCCATGAAGTAATACCTGTACATGTAACGAGTTAGTATAGCCTGATGAGTTTTTCCTTCAGCGTTAAGGTCAATCTCGATCTCACTCAGGTCACGTCACATGGGCAAGGTTACGTTCTTATCATTACTTTGTTACTGAGTGTTAAACAGAGAAAACGTGACACGTAGACGTCCATGAAACTCTCTCTCTCTCTCTGTGTGTGTGTGTGTGTGTGTGTGTGTGTGTGTGTGTGTGTGTGTGTGTGTGTGTGTGTGTGTGTGTGTGTCTAGTATTTGGGCCATCTCTCGTTGGATCCGACGGTCACGTAACAATTTCTACTGATGGTCAGTGGTGGCTGTCAGGTAATGTTCAATTATTCTTTCATTCATTAATTTCCTGTTTTATATTGTGCAATTTTCTGTTCAATTCATTCAATCATTCACATCCCAAACATATAAAGTATGGTTGTGGGACAGTATTACAGTGTAATATTAGTCTCCATTACAACGTTAAGGTAACAAGTGTGTTTCAGACTCTGAGGGTGTCAGAGTCAAGAGTTCAAGAGGTTTTATTGCACTTTAGGCCTCAGGCCCATATACAAAACAAGAGTACAACGAGATAATAACCATGAGTACAACTGCTGCATAAAATACATATGCGGCGACAATGTTACAAAGTGAATGTACACAATTATTTTACGAAGTGACTTCACGATACTATAAGATTCTTGCGCCGAGAAAGTGCATGATGAACAAAAAGTGTTAACCTTAGAATTGTTTTTCTATCATTAGAATTCAACAGAGATTTACATGAATACAAATTTGATAAACGCAGGTATTTCTGTGGAATATATGCTTCCCTTAAATCAGCATAAACAGTACAAACAAGCAGTATATGAAGTTCATCCTCTATACAAGTTTAACATAAAGGACACAATCTCATTGGCTTTGGGACAGAACGATGTCGTCAAATATTAACCATTATTTCAGACAATCCGAGACGAAATCTTGAATATGTTAGGCGCAGAGATTTGTGTGTTATAACATTTAAATACAATTCAGGTTCAATCAACGATTTAAAAGATCTATACATGACATACCTTGAACTTTTTTCAAGTGTCGATCTCCGATCCTGCTGAAACATATCTAGTGACTTTCTATGGAATAATCTTAAAAAATCATGTTTGTTATCGACATCTTGATGCAACCACACATACTCGAAACCGTGATAAAATAGCATATAACAAATATTTGATGCCAATGTTGTGTACCCATGATTGTCAAGAATAAGTAATATTTTGTATGCTTTTCTAGGCAGGCGGTCTTCGTGCATTTCTAAAATTTTAAACCAATATATTGAACAACGGATACATGCATTAATGTACATCGGACATCTTCCACATTCACCATAAACCATACAGTTTGGAGTGTTCATTCCTGTCTTCAAAAACTTTTTACATGCATATAAATGTATTTTCTCTATTGGTTCATAATTTTTAAAACCCCAAAGTTCTGAGCCGTATAAAAGGATAGACTGTATTTGGGCATCATATAGCTTAAAATAAACTCTAGGTGGTAAGTAACATGACCATTGCTTTCTTGGTTCTTACAGCTAAATTGTGGACAGTTTTTCCTAAATTCAAAGTCTTAGTAAATAAAATGCCCAGGTATTTATATTCATCTGCAAGACTAAAGGGTGTTTTGGTAAAACCAGTTTTCGGACTTAGCGAGTTGACCACCTCTCCTAAACACAACCACATTTATCTAGGTTTACTGTAAGTTTCCGTTCATCTGTAAACTTTTCTAAGATATTCAGCTGGTTTTGAAGCCCTACCACAGTATCTGATACAAGTATAACATCATCAGCAAACAATAGCATGAATAACTCTAAAATATCTGGGTACAGCTGAACGCCGTGTTTTTCCTGTCTGACAATATCGTATGTTAACTCGTTAATAAAAAATGAGAACAGCATAAGACTTAATAAGCAGCCTTGTTTCAAACCAAGAAGACAATCGAAAAAGTCTGTTGACTGACCATCAAACCGAACACATGCTTTCACATGTGTATACATACTTTTTAACATATGTAGCATTTTACCATTCATGCCTGAATTTTTCAAACAAAGCCATAATTTATGTCGATTAACAGAATCAAACGCTTTCTTTAAGTCATCAAATGCTACATAAAGCTTCTTCTTATGCCTTAATAGATATTTCTGAACAATGGCATAAAGTGTAAACATGTGGTCAGTAGTTGAATAATGTTTTCGAAAACCAGCTTGCGTTTCCGAGGTTTTGTCTCTCATACTTGCCCAAAGCGTAAGACTCTTGTTTAAAATACATGTAAAGACTTTGCTAAGTATACTACTCAGGGAGATTCCTCTATAGTTAGCTTGATTATTAGGATCACCCTTTTTGTGGAGAGGTACAATTATAGCTTTCGACCACATATTAGGGAAACGGCCACTTGAATATATCTTATTAAACTATTTCGCCAAAAACGGCAGTATTATTTCCTTAGAACTTTTAATCATTTCAACAAGAAGATTATCTAGTCCAGGAGACTTACCATTCTTCAGAGAATACATTGCATCAATAATGTCCTCAACAGTGATATTGGCATCAAGAATACATCGATCAATATCAGTATAATGCTCAAGATGGCATATATGTCTGTATCAGAACTGGTTAAGTTCTCAAACATATCAGCAGTATGGAAGACATCTTTGAAATGAGTTAACCATTCGGTTGGCTTAATTTTGCAAATGGTATATGTCTTTGAGTTAATATTTCGCATCTCTTTCCAAAATTTTGTAGGGTTACCGAGAGATTTGCATAATTTATCTACTTTATGTTGTCGAAACTCTAAATTTATACCTCCGACATCTTTGCTTATAATAATTCCTAACAGCACAATATTGTTTTCTGGAATGTTCATTTCTATGTCGTCTGAACTGTCGAAGTGCTCCCCTGCAGGCACGTTTAGCAGATATACATTCACCATTTAATATTATTCTATTGGGTGTATTGTGGATATTGTATTGGAAAATCATATCAACCTATGACAGCAAGAAGATCGTTTCAAAATAACTCTTCATATCATGCTCTTCATTTGAGGTAAATACAGTTAAAAGTGAGATATGTTGTGGGAAGAGAAATGTGGACACATTTTGATTTTTGACAACCACCGCAGCTCGTACATTTTTCAGTTCTCAAAATCCCTCCATCCTTGCATGAAAGAGAAAATACACTACATCCCATAGATGTTGAGGCCAAAGAAGGATGAAGAAAGATGAAGAAAGCCAAAAGACCAAATTATACCCTTGATTTGTAACACTTGTTGCCTCTCCTTCAGGAACCATTAGGACTGCACAAAGTGAGAACTATACACTATGCCATTGAAAGGAACTAAACGATTCTCATGGTCTTTGCTGATGGGTGGGTCTACAAACTGTAAGAGCCCACAAAATTGACGAGAGAGTAAAGTATTTGATATATTGTTTTGAAACGTTTGGCAAAACCAGAAACAGACTTCATAATATCAGACAAAACTAGCATGTTGAATTTGAAATGTACAGACTAAAATCAGCATACCAAAATGTGCTACAATGTTTTTAATTTCCGGAACCACCAACAATTTCATTTTATATACGAACATTTCATCCAGGTTGTTCAATTTCAAGGGAAGCGTTGCCGAACGTGAACTTGGCAGCTAATGATGTACGTTCCACTACATCTGGCTGCCAAGGCTCATCATACTGCTACCAGCTTGAAGGTCAAATAATAACAGTGACTTCTCTTTTATTAACAATAACAATGTTTGTCAGTTATTCAAATATGGACCTAATCATTGTGAGGAATCTCTCACCAATTAGGATCACAACTTTAAAATAATAACCTATGACACTAAAATGGCCAAAATATGTCTTTTAGAGTGGGTAAAATCAGATTGTGATGTTATCATTTATGAAATTCAAAAACTGAAAAAGGGGAAAAAGAATTTGAATAAACTATTCTGTTCCAGAAAGCTGCCATATAAGTCTGGCTGCCCAACATGAAAAGTTTAAAGTTGTTCACACTAACAAGGCCTCAAGTAGTACACAAGAACTTGATATAAATGACATATCACATACTGCAAGATATAACGGCAGTAAGTTAACTGAGAAAGAAATCAGTACTTTCAGTACTGTCAACTTTTAGCTTTACTCTAAAACCTAAAGACACGCCTAATCTCTTTTGTACTTGATTCCAAAGCGCGATACAAATCCTAACACACAGAGATATATTGCTGGGTCCATCAAATGTGCCACCAAATACCATAATTCTTAATACAATCAAAGGGGTGAATTTCTAAATATTCTCAGAAAGTTTTTGAGAAAGTGTGAATCAATACCATGTGGATTCTCAAAACCTTGAAGAAGTTGCTTGATTATTTGCAATCTCAGCTTAGAAGCCAGTTCAACTCTGTGAACAAGTTTTATTTTTCAACTTTTTACATCATCATACGACATGACAAACTTAAGAAAAAACTTTACACTAGGCTTTTATTACAAAAGGAGGTGACCATAGATACAGTTCAGAGTTTCAGAACACTTTGTGGAACGAAAGATGAAAGCAAATGCCATCTGAAATTTACTGA